GCTCACTTTGCGGCCGTAAGAAGTCAGAGGACTAACCTGTATCTTAAAAGGTTGCTCGGTTGTTCTGGGAAACCTGGATTAGAAGTTGGGCTGAAATGACTTGTCCTGGGCAGGTGAGCAGGACCTGGGTGTCAACTTACCCTCATCATTATTATGGTTATGTTCATGGTTGAAAAGAATTCTGCCTTCCTCACATGGTGGATTTGTGGTCACACCGAGCTGGTTATGTGGATCATGAGTTGCCTGTCATGACTTCACACAACTCGTTGTGACAGCCTCATGTGGTGTGTGAGGGAGGTTAGGGTGCATCTACGGTAGATAAGGCCAGCCTTTGTGGCCCGGAAACTGTGGTTTGTGGCTCGTCACGCTGCCTTAGTCCAGCCAAAGATGCTTTACCTTCAATAAACCAACATTAACCCAAACATGGCTCGATAGGCATGAATCCAACCCAACTCTCAACATGCGTCCCTGTTAGTTGCCTGGTTCTCGTTTTTCTGGCTTTTTGTGCTGGCTGCTAAAGCCTGGATTTTATTTTTGCGTGTTATGCCAATTGGCTCACTTGCTCGATCATCTCTCTTTTTTTTTTTCTTCTACACAATGAACTCGGCGTATTACCCAACGTCCTCTGTGCGGTGCGGATTGATTTAGTATGGGCTGATGAAGTTTTCTAGGCAGGAACTGAACGAGAGCAAAGGAAATAAAACAATGCTCACAATGCACTCGGTTAACTTTTGCACTTTCTGGTTTTTAACATGAGAAAGTTCTCTGATGCATCGGTTTTTTTTCCCCTCCCCTGGACTGGATGCAATCTGTTTTTATTTCCTAGAAAACTTCCTTTCCTGTCTCTGAGCTTTCTTGGGCTGACAAACCTCTGACTAATTTCTTAGCAGCACCAGGGTTTGGGCCCCTGTATTTATCTGTAGCATTTTTTACTTCTCTGTTTACCCCAAAAGGGGAAAAGAGCTTGGATTTTAGAGGCTGAAAGGGAAGGCGCGCAAGGAATAAAACATGTGAGGTCGGAGGGAAAAAAGCAAGCTCAGGGCACGAGGCTTTTCCTGGGATGCTTCCCTAGGCTCCATGGAGTCAGGTTGGTCCTGTAGTAGGGATTCCTGCCTGCCTGTCCGTCCCCAGCGTGGCTCTCTCCGCTTCAGGCTCTTTATCTGTTCCTTTGTGCCTTGTGTTTGTTTTCTGCCATTGTTTTCCCCCGGGGAGCTTAAAGCCTTCGGGTGCCTGTGTGATCTTGGGCTAATATTTCCAATATTTAGGCTCCAGAAAGCCGGGAACAGATTCTGCTCTGCATAAGGGATGTGTTTGCTGGTTCATACAACCGTCTGTTGCATATAGGGGTTCGGTCAGCAAATGCCTTGGAGATGCCCTGTGTGTGTGTGTGTGTGTGTGTGTGTGTGTGTGTGTGTGTGTGCTGGGCCTCTTTGCTGTGTTAACTCTACCAATAAATGAGAATATTTGAACTGTGGGGTCCTTGGTGCTCTCTGAGCTTGGTGGTTTTCTTTCTTTCTTTCTTTCTTTCTTTCTTTCTTTCTTTCTTTCTTTCTTTCTTTCTTTCTTTCTTTCTTTTTGCAAAAGCTTTATTCAATTTTCACATATTAAAGAAAGAAAAAAAAAATTCTCTTTTCAATGAACAGCATGATTCCAGGTTAACGCATTTCCATTACAACCCTGACTTTCATTTCCTATTCTGCTTTCACATTTAATAACTTACCTTGATCTTACTTTATATATTTTCTTTTAATTTTAATCATCCAGCTCTTCCCATTTGATTTTATAATAAGCTTGGTGGTTTTTCTTGTAGACGTTTCATGACCCAGCTAGGGAACATCATCAGTGCTGGAAGGGAGTGGGGTTTGCAGGAAGGAGAAGGACTGTGGTGGTCTTGGTTACATTCTTACGAGCCCCGGGGGCCCAATGGTCAGAGTGCCGTATTGCAGGCTCCTTCTGCTGACTGCCGGCTGCCTGCAGTTTGGCAGTTCGAATCTCAACAGGCTCAAGGTTGACTCAGCCTTCCGTCCTTCCGAGGGGGGTAAAATGAGGACCCAGATTGTTGGGGGCAAATATGCCAACTCTGTAAACCGCTTAGAGAGGGATGTAAAGCAGTATATAAGTCTAAGTGCTATTGTTATTACAGACGTTTCATTACCCAACTAGGTAGCATCAGCAGTGCTAGAAGGGAGTGAGTTTTTTGTTTTGATTTTTTGAGGAGAGGAGGAAGAGGAAGAGGAGAAGGAGGAAGACCGTGGGGTCCTTGGCTCTCTTGGAGCTTTCTTGCTTTCTTGCAGACGTTTCGTGTCGCAACTAGGGAACCTCATCAGTGCTGGTGTTAACTGTCTTGCCAAGAGCAACATCCCCATTTCACACATGATTTACATTCGGCTATTGGGCTGCTGGTTCACATTTATGACGGTTGCAGCGTCCCGGGGTCACGCAATTCCCCTTTTGCTACCTTCTGAAGAGCAAAGTGCATGAGGAAGCCTGCTTCGCTTAACGACTGCCTGCCTAATTTTTTCAGCTCTGTCGTAACTTCGAACAGTCACTAAACAAAACAGCCATAAGAGAAATGAAATAGACTAAATTTCATAACAGAAGATCAATATATATATATATATATATATATATATATATATATATATATATACACACACACACATACATCTTGCTACTGAACTTACAGCCTGGAGCTTGGGGAGAGATAAGGAACCGTTTCAGACATCTGGCTTATGTAACTCAACACTCAGCCACCAAGTCCTGTGGTTTGGGATAAAACATTTAAAAAACTAATAATTTTTTTTAAAAATAATATTTCTTAAGGTTTCTTTGCAGGCCTGGAATGGATTGGGGATGAGATTTGGAGAGGCACGTTTTCTTGTTTTTGGGTTGTTGTTGGTTTTTTTGCGGGATTTAAACCAAAGAAATGAACCTTGGAATTTGACTTACAGACCATCCCATTCATCGGTGATCAGGTTGGCATCGCAAGCGGGTTATTTTGTGTCTTGAATCCCGCACAGCCTGTTTTTTTTTTAAAAAAAAAACAAAAACCTTAAAATTTTTAATTTTTTTCCCCAGCTGTTTCTCATTGCTGAAAATTATTTGGCAGGGTTTTTCTCTTATTTTTCTTTCCTCGGGCCAGAAAATTGCAGAAGTACGTTGGTTTGTGTTACTTTCCGAAATCATTTCGGTTCCATTTTCTGATGAATTCTAGAAACATTAAAGAGTGTGTGTGTGTGTGGTGGGGGAGGGGGATTTCCTGAGAAATTGGGGAGGAAACCCTAAACTTTTATTGATAAGAAACTCTGAATGAGAAATTACAACGCTTCCCGACTGGTATTTCTGAACTTCTCCTTTTTCCCTTTTACAAGCTGGATTAACAAAAAAAAAGGAAGCGAAACGGCAGTAAACAACCTGGGATGGTTTGATTTGGGGCTGATGTCCCTGTTATCCTGTTTTCAGTGATTGCCTTTCGCTGATTCTTTGCATTCCATTGTAGCTCTTGTTTTCTTCTCTCTCTCTTTCTCTCTCTCTCCCTCCCTCCCTCTTTTTCATTATCTTTCTCTATTTCTTTCCCTTTCTCATTCTGTTCCTTTCTCCCTCCTTCTTTCTTGCTCTTCCCCTCTCTCTCTTTCTTTTTCTCTCTCGTTCTCTCTCTCTTTCTCATTCTGTTCCTCTCTCTCCCCCTTTGCTCTTTCTCTCTTCTTCTTTCTCGCTCCCTTTCTCTTGCTCTCTCTCTCCTCTCTTTTTCTTTCTCTCTCTCTTTCTGTCATTCTCTTTCTCTCCCTCCCATCCTCTTTTTCACTTTCTGCCGCTCTTTTTCTCTCTCACTCTTTCTCTCTCTCTTTCTCACTTTCTCTTCCTCTCCCCCGCCCCCCCCCCCCCGGTTTAACCCCAGAATAAGTGAGATGTGGAGAAAAATTGCTTTCCGAGGCTTATTTTGGCGATACAGTGGCAAGGAAACATCTGTTTTTTGCTTGTCGGAGAGCCCCATTTCCCTCTGCTTTGCCAGGGCTTGAGATTGGAATGAGGAATCCTTGATATTATTTTTTCCTGCTCTCTCTCTCTCCCCCCCCCCACCGCCTCCTCCAAGTGGAATTTGCTCTGTTCCTTCCAGAGGAATAATTTTTCTCTCTGGGAGAGAAAACCTTGGACTTTGGGGTGTTGCTGAGAGCACCGTCTGTGTCCTGCTTTTGACGGAGCGTGCCTTGGAACGCGTTGGCCTGGAATGGATGTTGAGAGATTTTGCCACCTGGCATCGTAACCTTAAAAGAATGTTTTGGCTTTCAAACTGTTCTTTTATTTATTTTATTTTTGAAAAAAAAATAAATTCTGTTCAATCCTGTCTGATCCTCGGAGACGGGGCTTGGACAAGTCCTTGTTTTCTTGGCGAGGTTTTCCAGAAAGTTTGCCCTTGGCTCCTTCTAAGAGCTTTGGAGAGACAGACTGGCCTGAGGCCACCACCCAGCTGTCTCAGTGCCCAAAGCGGGACTAGAACTCATGGTCCAGGGGGTGGGATTCTACGGGTTCGGAGCGGTTCTATAGAACTGGTTGTTACGATTCTGCGCAGTTTGGAGAACTGGCAAATCTCGCCCCTGGCTGGCTCCGTCCCTCTCTGCCCAGCCAGTGTGATATCGCTGACTGTGTTCTCCCCTACCCAGTTACTCCTTAAAGTCCGCCCTTCCTTCCTTCCTTCCTTCCTTCCTTTCTTTCTTTCTTTCTTTCTTTCTTTCTTTCTTTCTTTCTTTCTTTCTTTCTTTCTTTCTTTCTTTCTTTCTTTCCAATGATCAGCTGTTCTGACGATCAGCTGTTCCGACGATCAGCTGTTCCGGGACCCCCCTCGCTCTCTTACAGCTTCGCCCAGAAGGCTTCCCTGGGGCCCAGGAGGCAAAAAGGGATGCGTGGGGGTTGTAGGTCATACAAGTCAGTGGCCAAGCACCTGAATTTAAATCACAGGGATGTTGCAACAGTCGTGATTGTGAGCAACGTTCCTAACGTAATTTTTTCCCAGTGCCGTTGTAACTTTGAACAGACGCTGAATGAACTGTTGGAAATCAAAGACTGCCTGCACGAGTCTTCGCCCGGGTTCATTCCTTGCTCTTAGCCATGATTTTTGGGGTAAACCATAATCGGCTGGCTTCGTGCAACCCCCATAGGCAAAACCCCAGCAGTTGGGTTTACACAATAGAGCCAAATCCAAGCCGTGTTGCAGCTGGTTCAATGTGATGGATGAAAACCTTGCATTGAATTATTTGATGTCCTCCAACCTTGACCTTTTGTAGGCACTACAACTCCCCGTGGACACCTCTGGAGAGCCTCACCTTGGAAAAGGCTCCGGCAGATAAAAATAACGACCATAGGAAGCAAAACGGCCTCCAGCGGGCGACTGTCCTTCACCCAACCTCCTTGGCTCCCAAAAATTTAGCCATGAACATTCTTTGAGCAGATAGGAAGTATGGAACAGTGCTTTTTTTTTTCTTTCTTTCTTCTGGCATGGAAATCTTCACACACACACACACACACACACACACACACACACACCCCTCCCATCCCATAGTTGGTTGCAAACAGGAATCAAGAATGCCAGCTGTAGGCTTTGCTGCGTTTTGATGTTCAGTAAGAGCCAGTTTGACAAGAATTACCAGCCGCTCGGCTGGCTCCCTCGCGTGATTTTTTGGCTCCTGGCCCAGCAGAGCCAACTGCTTTTTGGAGAGAGAGGTGTGGGGTGTTTTTTTGTTTTTTTTTTGAAACATTTCTGGGTAGTTTAGGCAGGTAGAGATAATTCTCCCAAGGTAGGTGTGTTCCTGTTTGGGTAAGAGCGGCTTGGAGATTGGGTAGCCGTACGTTTCTTCCCCTTGGCTTTTTTTTTCTTCCTCTCAAGAAGAGCATCTCCTTTCGCTGTTCCTCTTTCTCCTCTAGACTTGGGGGAGCCTCAAATCAGTGACCCCACGGACCCGGAAGAACCCCCGATGCAGAAGCCTCCGGGAAGCCCCTTGGTCCTCCCTCACACCCTGCAGGAGCTCTTGAGCAAAGACACCGTTCAAGTGCAGTTAATCCCGGAGAAAAAAGGGCTGTTTTTGAAGCACGTGGAATATGAAGTCTCCAGCAAGGTTGGTGATGAGGAATACAGTTCGATTCCTTGGGCTTGGCTTGGAGCAACTTGGTTGATCCTCCAGGTGGGCCGAGCTTGAAGGAATAAAAGGGGTGTATTTGCGGAAAGCCGTTAGATTGGTCTGAGGAAAGAATGAAGCAACCTCTTTTGGCTCTTAGCTGAAGAGTTGCAACAGGCCGTGTCTTGGGAAAGCCGCCTCTTCCTAAAAAAAAAAAGAGAGAGACTGTCTCTATTTTGCAGTTGTTTATCAATGCTGGGTTTAGTTTTGGATGCAGATGGTCCACACCCCCTCGTGCAAATTTGCAACGACATTTTAGAAATCACAGTTAATAGGATATAAATGTCTACTTAAAAAAAAAAACCTCTAACGCAGCGTTTCCCAAACTTTGGCAGCTTTAAGATGGATGGACTTCAACTCCGAGAATTCCCCAACCAGCCAGGTTGCCAAGGTTGCAAAAGGATTGAGGGTTAACCCTTGGTTAGAACTGTTGTCAAATAATATATAATGGGTTTCTTATATTTTATAATCACACTATCAAACAGATTATAGGACAAGAAGAAGAAAGGACTCCTTTTCCACTCTTATGGAGCCTCTCTGTGATCAGTATAATAAATAATAACGGCTTGGTTGGATTGGATTTTCACCAGATCAATTGATAAAATCAGTTGCTTAGATCTTAGAAAGCTTTCTATCTCCATATTTAAATCTAAAAGTTAAATGCCAGCTGGCTGTAGGAAAGACCTCCTGTAGGAATAATCTCTACATTTTAAACGTTTTTAAAAAAATAACCTGCAAGTATAGTACAACTATAGTGTGAGATTCTAAGATTGGCAAAGAAGGTTGGCAGGTAGAAGAAAGAACAAAATATTATTCCATTTATAAAGATAGTTGGCGTGCTTTTAGGGAATTGATAAAGCTGTATCGATTTTAGCCAGTTCAATCGTGGGCGAGCAGCTGAATCGAACTGACTTCAATCCATTTCTCTGGCCGGTGGGGGAAAAAAAAAATCCCAATTTAAAGCGTGGCTTTCGGTTCTCCTGGAAGAAATGATTTCTCCCTGCAACAAGGACTTTTGTTGTTTTGCTTCTTTCTTTCCACATTTGCTCTCGGCAAGTTTTTCTTAGCGCTTATTTTTCAGAGTGATTCAAACTGTAGCAGTGACGGTGACAGGAAAAACTTCCAGCTCGTTGCATCATTTAGCTTTTTCGGGAGGATTTATGGCTGCAAGATGTGGCGGTTGTGGTTTGTTTGGATCTGTTGCGAAGGGAGGACGGGGCGGATTCTTGGATGTTTAAGCAAGGGGTGAACAGATAAAACTCATTCTCACCCGAGTCCTTCAACTGGCTGCCCATCGCTCCAGACAAGGTCTATTGATTTATTTACTGAATCGCTGTAGCTAGCTCCTTGTCCCAATAAGGAGATCTGGGCAGTGAACAATGTGAGAAGTAAAAATAGAAATAACAACAACGGCAGAAATCAAAAGTAGAGAGGGGCCAAGGGAAAGGCTAGAGAAATTTCCTAAGGATGAGCTCCAGCTCGGAAGACTAAACCTTTGGTTCCGGTGACCGACCCGGATTGGATCCTGCAACATTGTCCTGGGACACGTAGATCCATCTTCGTTCATGAGAAATGCAACAATTGTTAACACAACCAGGAAATGGGTCCTTTCACACACTCGAGGCAGAATGAGCCAACTCGCTGTGGGAGCAATTTAACAATTCAGTTTAATTATTTAAAATAGTTTAAAGATTATTTCGTGGTTTTTTTGGTCATTCACATTTCACATCATCCCTCTTTTTTCATCCTTTCTTGAATTATTCTGTTCCACCATTTCTTCAATATTAGTGTAACTCTTGCCCTGCAACGACTTGTTGAGTTGCCTGTGGCATGTTGTTGTAGATCCCACTTGGGGATCCAGGCCTGGGCACAGAACCAAGTGTTGGGATCTTGTGAAAGGCCAGCAGGACTGGGGCCAATCTCATCTCCGGTGGGAGAAGGCTCCATAGGGTGAACAACTATGGCAGGCAAGACATATCTTCTGGGATCCACCTGCTGGCATTCCTTAGCCGATGAGATGTGGAGTGTTGTGCCCGTCTTGACGGATGAGATGGGATGGGTAGGAACAACCAGGGTCCCTTAAGTAATCTGGTCTCAAGCCAGGAGATGCTGGACCAGAGAGTATTGAGATCTTCTGTTCCTGGTCCAAGGGGCCGAGAGTTCCAAGCATCTCCTTTGGAGGAAGCTCTGAATGGACTCCTTCATTCTCCCTACAGCGTTTTAGGTGCTCCGTTTACCGGCGGTATAACGACTTTGTGGTTTTCCATGAGATGCTCCTTCAGAAGTTCCCCTACCGTATGGTTCCTGGCTTACCTCCCAAGAGGATGTTAGGAGGTAAGCTTGGAAGGGACAAGATGGGAGGTAACTAAACTCCAGAAAGGCCATCCATGATGACCTTCCCCAACCTGGGTTGGAACTAGGACTATCAGGCTTCCTAGTCAACCAAGGCATTGTGTTGGGAATCGCAATCCTGGTGTCTTGTTGACCATAGCTTATGGCTGGAATTGGTAGAAGAAGTGGGACTTCCTTTTGTGCATAAACCTACCAGGAAGGTTTTGAAGATTGAGGTTCCTCAACCCGGACCTTCTCCATTCCTCCAGCTGACCGAGAATTCATCGAGACCAGGCGCCGTGCCTTGAAGCGTTTCATCAATCTGGTGGCGCGACACCCTCCTTTTTCAGAAGATGTCCTTCTGAAGTTCTTCCTCTCTTTCAGCGGGTCGGTAAGTGTGCCTGAGAAGGACTCCGTGGGTAATTGAATATGTTGTAGAGATCAGTGCCTGCTGGCTTATCTAGCGCTGGTTTGCCAGATGCCTCCTACTAGTTAGATATCTACCATAACGTTGTCCACAGCAGGACTTTCTTGGATGGCCAACCTTTAAAGGATCTTGAGGCAACTAGTAATTTTTCATGTATATCCAGGGAAGGAGAGAAACCAAGTTTGTGGTGGTCAATCTAGCACATGATCTTACTCAGGGTCATCCCAACATCAATGAACTAGATGACAGAGGTTGACTCAGTCCACGGACACTTCATGTTTCTAGTTAATTTTGCAATTCACCACCCAGTTTATGGTATCTCAAACTCCTACAACTCCTACACCTAGAATCCAGGGGTGACCTTTGAGTCAAAGATGAGATATTATTAGTTCCTTCACAGAGACTACAAAACGTTATGCTGGTAGAAGTAAGACTCCAGGAATGGGAAAGGAGATAGTCATTGCTAAACTCCAGTGATGGTTGTAGCAATGCTCTCCAGTTCCTGTCTGCCCTTTTGGATTGCCCCTTCCTACTTACCTTCTTCTTGTTGTTCCAGGATGTTCAGAACAAGCTGAGGGAGTTGGTCCAAGGTGTGGGAGATGAATTCATGGTCTGCAAGTTCGCAATGCAAGCAAAGGTATCATCTCCTGTTAGAGACCTGGGCGTGGGGCGGCTTCAGCAGAAGACTTCTGTTTGGAACAGAGAGATACAAAGGCTCAATCCTGGTCACTTAGGATGGTGTTTCTCAACGTTGGCTGCTTTAAGATGGGTGGACTTCAGAATTCCCCAGCCGGCTTTAAGATGGGCCGACTTTAATTCCCAGAAGTCTACCCAACTCGAAAATATTTCTCTGGTCTTTTAGAGTTGCCAGCAGAAAGGGAGTTGGGGAAGAAGTGCATTCCTTAAATGCTTATAGATAATTTCTAGGAGACCGTAGCTTCTGGCGCGCAAGATTATTACTGGAGAGCATGATTGATGACTCTTGGCTATGGATGTCTCCCATTGGATGGCCCTGACACCCATCTTAAAGCAGCCAACATTGAGAAATGTTGACTTAAGAGGCTTGAGCTGCATTGAGAAGGACAAGCTGGGGAAGATTGTGCCAGCTGGGGTCAACATCTCCTGCTATATAGGACTCTTCCAGCTATATGGAAACTGGCTATCCCTCCCCAACCTGGCGCCCCTGTAACATCCCCACGTAGCTGTCGTTGAGTCTCTTGAACTTTGCTACCCCTCTTTCAGGAGTATTTGCCTACAGACATCCAAATCCAGTTTGCGGCCAGCCGAGAATTGATCAGGAACATCTACAACAGCTTCTACAAACTCAGGGACCGGACCGAGCGAATAGCCTCCCGGGCGGTGGACAATGCCTCAGACCTTCTCCTCTTTGGGAAGGAGCTAAGGTGAGTGGCCGTAGACTGACCCACCTGCTTTCTGAACCTCAAGCCTTGGGGCTGAGCCGCCATTTTTTTAGAGGTGGTCCTCGGCTTGTGGCCGGTAGCGATTCTTCGAAGTTAGGACAGACCTCCCGGGGTTACTTATGGCCCAAATTCAAAGTTTTGTCAGCAACCCCCATTCCTGAATTTTAGATGTTGGGTAAATGGCCTGCAATTAGCTGTGGTAGCGCAGTGGTCAGAGTGCAGTACTGCAGGCTACTTCTGCTGACTGCCAGCTGACTGCAGTTTGGCAGTTCGAATCTCACCAGGCTTCAGGTTGACTCAGCCTTCCGTCCTTCCGAGGTGGGTAAAAGGAGGACCCAGATTGTTGGGGGCAAGAGGATGTAAACTGCTTAGAGAGGGATGTGAAGCAGTGTGAAGTGGTATATAAATCTAAGTGCTAAGTGGGGAAGGAGGGAAGGAAGGAGGGAGGGAGGGAAGGAAGGAAAGGGAGGGAAGGGCTATTGTGGCACAGTGGTTAAAATGCAGTATTGCAGGCTCTGCCCATTGCCAGGAGTTCAATCCTGACTGGCTCAAAATTGCCTCAGCCTTCCGTCCTTCCATGGTGGGTAAAATGAGGACAGAGATTGTTGGGGGCAAGAGGCTGACTCTGTAAACCGCTTAGAGAGGGATGTAAAAGCACTGTGAAGTGGGATATAGGTCTGCTGTAGCTTGTGAAGGAAGGAAGGAAGGAAGGAAGGAAACCGTGGTGGCACAGAGGATAGAATGCAGAATTTCAGGCTGATTCTGCCCGCTGTCAGAAGTTCAATCCTGACTGGCTCAAGGTTGACTCATCCTCCCGTCCTTCCATGGTGGGTAAAACGAGGACCCAGATTGTTGGGGGCAAGAGGCTGATTCCATAAAACGCTTAGAGAGGGCTGGGCGTTGGGTGCACACAGGGGGGAGGGGGTTTGGTGCAAAGGCTTGGCAGGGTCTTCACAGATACCACCCCCCTCCCTCTTCCGGCAGTGCTTTGGGCTCGGACACAACCCCGCTGCCTTCCTGGGCGGCTCTGAACCACAGTGCCTGGGGCAGCCTGAAGCAGGCCCTGAAAGGCCTCTCCGTGGAATTCGCCATGTTGGCTGACAAAGCCGTTCAGCAGGTGAGCTGGGATGGGCAAAGGTTTGCAGAGGATGCAGGGGGTGATGGTGGTGTTGGTTGCCCAGGATGATGGGTCTGGGTACCCCTCCCCCTCTGAGATTCACCGACCTTTCAGTGAAGATTGCAAGGAAGCACCTGGGGGGGGCGTCCTCGTTTAGCGACTGCCTCCGTTCACACTGACCCAGCGGGGGATGAAACAGCCCCTTGGAAACATCCCCCCACCTCCTCACATTGGCGGCCTTCGCCAGTCTGTAAAACAGAAGGAAGGGAGGAAGGGAGGGAGTGAGGGAGGAATGGAAGGAAGGAAGGTAGAAAAGGGAGGGAGGGAATGGAAGGAAGGAAGGGAGGGAGGGAGGGAGGTAGAAAAGGGAGGGAGGGAAGGAAGGAAGGAAGGAAGGAAGGAATGGAAAGGAGGGAGGGAGGAATGGAAAGAAAGAAGGTAGAAAAGGGAGGGAAGGAAGGAAGGAAAGAAGGAAGGAAGACCGTAAGCCCCGTTGCGGCTTCACTGAACAATGTTCGCTTAGCAACCAAGAAGCCAGTTTCCGGTTTCAGTCTCTGAACAAGGAGAAGGTCATAAATCTTATGACTTGCGAGCTCCTGTTGGTGAATGAATTATAAAAATCAGGAAACGCCATCCGGAAGACGTCTATGAAGACAGAGGTCAATTTTTGGGGGGTGGGGGCGTGGGAAAGAGGTTTTCTTTCAGCGACTGCACTGCTTAGCGACGGACATTCCGGTGCCAACTGTGACCACCACCAGCTGAGGACTACCCGTGCGTGTATGTGTGTGTGTATATATGTATGTGCGTGTGTGTGTATGGATATTTGCGCGCACACACATGCCCATACACAGAATACCTGCGCACTCACCCACCGTGGTCTCTTCCACCTTGAGTTGCTCTCCATCCCATCGTCCCTCTTGGTCTTGAAAAATTCCCCTGGATCCAGACTTCCAAGGCGCCACTGCCCACTGGCCCGCTTTCCTCTTGCCCTTGGGGGGCAGGTGGGGAGCAACTGCCCCCCCCCCCTTACTGGGTTCTCTTTCGTTCCGCTGTTCAGGGGAAACAGGAAGAAAACGACGTGGTGGAGAAACTCAACCTCTTCCTGGACTTGCTCCAGTCGTACAAAGTGAGTCCGGTGTTCAAAGTGCCTGTCAGGGAGAGAAAGGCTGGGTCAACGGGTGGAGGGCCGGAGCAGGGCTGGAGCAGGGAAGCGGGAGGGTCCGAAACGGGAGAGTCGAGGAATGAAAAAGGTGAAAAAAAAAAGGATGGATAAATGGATGGAGAGAGAGAGAGAGAGAGAGAGAGAGAGAGAGAGAGATGGACAGATAGGTTAGATGGATGGATGGATGGATGGATAGATATATTAAATAGATAGAAAGATAGATATATTAGATAGATCAAATAGATAGATAGATAGATAGATAGATAGATAGATAGATAGATATAGATAGATAGATGATAGATAGATAGATAGATAGATAGATAGATAGATAGATAGATAGATAGATAGATAGATATAGATAGATAGATGATAGATAGATGATAGATTGATAGATGATAGATAGATAGATAGATAGATAGATAGATAGATAGATAGATAGATAGATAGATAGATAGA